ACACACCATGTGTTAAAGTCATACACACCATGTGTTAAAGTCATACACACCATGTGTTAAAGCCACACACACCATGTGTTAAAGCCACACACACCATGTGTTAAAGTCATACACACCATGTGTTAAAGCCATACACACCATGTGTTAAAGCCATACGCACCATGTGTTAAAGCCATACACACCAAGTGAAAATACACACCACATGTGAAAGAAATTCACAAGTGTTTAGGATTACACACCATGTGATCAATATTAATTACAGCATATAGAAAAGTTTAAGAATAAATAATATTGCCTTTTTATATTATATCTTGTATAGAATATAAGCACTCTTAAATGTTAAACTAAGTATTTCTAAACAAATAGATTTTTTTTACTTTGTACTGTATTTATCTTTGTGTACAGATACAACTGTAATTACAGTATTTATCTTTGTTTACAACTAGAAGTACAGTATTTATCTTCATTTATCTACATGTACTAACTAGCACTTGTACTGTGTTTATCTAAGCTATAAATTCTAGTAAATTGTACGCAGTCGCACTTTCATAAAGTAACGTAGATGTCTATGGACTAGGTACCATCTTATAATGGGTACATCAGCATGACAGGAAATAATCACATAACGGTATCATCAGGGCGGTTGAGACCCAACGTCCCTACAAGGAAGTCAGTTCCATAGTGGCCATGGTAGGGATCCTGGGGTGGATACCTAACAACAGGGCGGTGGAGACCCAACGTCCCTACAAGGAAGTCAGTTCCATAGTGGCCATGGTAGGGATCCTGGGGTGGATACCTAACAACAGGGCGGTGGGGACCCAACGTCCCTACAAGGAAGTCAGTTCCATAGTGGCCATGGTAGGGATCCTGGGGTGGATACCTAACAACAGGGCGGTGGAGACCCAACGTCCCTACAAGGAAGTCAGTTCCATAGTGGCCATGGTAGGGATCCTGGGGTGGATACCTAACAACAGGGCGGTGGGGACCCAACGTCCCTACAAGGAAGTCAGTTCCATAGTGGCCACGGTAGGGATCCTGGAGTGGATACCTAACAACAGGGCGGTGGAGACCCAACGTCCCTACAAGGAAGTCAGTTCCATAGTGGCCACGGTAGGGATCCTGGAGTGGATACCTAACAACAGGACGGTGGAGACCCAACATCCCTACAAGGAAGTCAGTTCCATAGTGGCCACGGTAGGGATCCTGGAGTGGATACCTAACAACAGGACGGTGGAGACCCAACATCCCTACAAGGAAGTCAGTTCCATAATGGCCACGGTAGGGATCCTGGGGTAACTAGGTAATTACAAGGTATTGTTTCTGACAAATTTGGAATTGGTAACCTGTAAACAGTAGAACCTTGATACTCTGGCTCAATATATAGTATACAGTAGAACCTTGATACTCTGACTCTGTATACTGTATACAGTAGAACCTTGATACTCTGAATCAGTATACTGTATACAGTAGAACCTTGATACTCTGACTCTGTATACTGTATACAGTAGAACCCTGATACTCTGACTCAGTCTACTGTATACAGTAGAAACTTGATACTTTGACTCAGTATACTGTACATAGTAGAACATTGATACTCTGGCTCAATACGCTGTATACAGTAGAACATTGATACTTTGACTCAGTATACTGTATACAGTAGAACCTTGATACTCTGGTTCAATAAATAGTATACAGTAAAAACTTGATACTCTGACTCAGGTTACTGTATACAGTAGAACCTTGATACTCTGACTCTGTATACTGTATACAGTAGAACATTGATATTCTGGCTCAGTATACTGTATACAGTAGAACATTGATACTCTGACTCAGTATACTGTATACAGTAGAACCTTGATACTCTGACTCAGTAAACTGTATAGAGTAGAACCTTGATACTCTGACTCAGTATACTGTATACAGTAGAACCTTGATACTCTGACTCACTCAACTGTATACAGTAGAACCTTGATACTCTGACTCACTATACTGTATACAGTAGAACCTTGATACTCTGACTCAGTATACTGTATACAGTGGAACCTTGATACTCTGATTCAGTATACTGTATAGAGTAGAACCTTAATACTCTGGTTCAATATATAGTATACAGTAGAACCTTGATCCTCTGACTCACTCAACTGAATACAGTAGAACCTTGATACTCTGCCTCACTATGCTGTATACAGTATAACCAAGTATCCAGGTCTACTGTAAATTATATCGTATTAACACAATATCAAACAAATACACTGATACCTTACAGCCTTAGATAAATATTCATAAAATAACAAAAAAATGTCTTGGACCTCGGAAATCATTTTCTGCATTAATTGAGTGTTTTGGATTGTAACAATATATATATATAAAAAAATCATAGTATCACATATTTTCCACAGCTCTTTTCAAATTTCACATGTATAAATATTAAAATTTTACAACTAATCACAAGTATTTTGTATATGTTAAAAGGTCCTTTTTACCACCCTCACTATCACACGAGTACACACATTACAGCACCTAGAGGGAATACTACAATAAAACTATATAAGTATATGGTTGTTCTGGACATATGCTTTACATATGATCACTCTCCTTAACTGTAAAACCATTCTACTACTATATTAGACTTGACAGCATGCCACAGCCAGTGGAAGTTTGGCCTCACTCACTCGACATAGCGAGGTCTATTCACAGGACATCCCACGTCATGAACAGAGTGCCAGGTAGGAAGTTACAGTTCGCCCTCACTTGACATGACAATTTTCTTTATCTCTCTATGGACTTTACTATATCAAAGCTCTCTCCACCAACTGTGCCAAGTCTGTCTTTACAGCATTCCCTCATTCCTTGTTGGTGCTATACATAGCCTCAAGATAACAACCAGCCAGCTCTCCGACCATCTTCTTGTCAGGAATACTCTGTGCCATACCATATATAGCGCCCTAGAACAGTAAGTGATCATCCATGATCAGGAGATATTTGATCATCAATCATAATGTAGAAATAAATTATACATAAACAATACTGTTGTAAATTTAGGATTATTCATCATAAAAAGGAAAAATAGAACACTCTGAAGCCACTTCAGTAACCATGACTGTGTGTATTTTTTCAAGCCAATCAATTGCATATTATATGGTTATTGGGTAGGATACACTAACCATTTGAATGTTGTAACCCAGGGACAAAGTTCCCTGGTGTGGCTTGACCAGAAAAAACTTGATCTTGTGGTCTTGTTGTAGTACTTACCAAGCATCCAATATTGTGGTCTTATTGTAGGTGGGTGGTACTCACCATGCCACCTATCTCGTGGTCTTATTGTAGGTGGGTGGTACTCACCATGCCACCCATCTCGTGGTCTTATTGTAGGTGGGTAGTACTCACCATGCCACCTATCTCGTGGTCTTATTGTAGGTTGGTGGTACTTACCATGCCACCTATCTTGTGGTCTTATTGTAGGTGGGTAGTACTCACCATGCCACCTATCTCATGGTCTGGTTGTAAGTGGGTAGTACTCACCATGCCACCTATCTCGTGGTCTTGTTGTAAGTGGGTAGTACTCACCATGCCACCTATCTCGTAGTCTTGTTGTAGGTGGGTAGTACTCACCATGCCACCTATCTCGTAGTCTTGTTGTAAGTGGGTAGTACTCACCATGCCACCTATCTCGTGGTCTTGTTGTAAGTGGATAGTATTCACCATGCCACCTATCTCGTAGTCTTGTTGCAAGTGGATAGTACTCACCATGCCACCTATCTTGTGGTCTTGTTGTAGGTGGGTAGTACTCACCATGCCACCTATCTCATGGTCTGGTTGTAAGTGGGTAGTACTCACCATGCCACCTATCTCATGGTCTTGTTTTGTTGTAAGTGGATAGTACTCACCATGCCACCTATCTTGCCACTGATCACATAGTCCTGTTTTAAGTGGGTAGTACTCACCATGCCACCTATCTCATGGTCTTGTTGTAAGTGGATAGTATTCACCATGCCACCTATCTTGCCACTGATCACATAGTCCTGTTTTAAGTGGGTAGTACTCACCATGCCACCTATCTCATGGTCTTGTTGTAAGTGGATAGTACTCACCATGCCACCTATCTTGCCACTGAACACATGGTCTTGTTGTAAGTGGGTAGTACTCACCATGCCACCTATCTCGTGGTCTTGTTGTAAGTGGATAGTACTCAACATGCCACCTCTCTCGTGGTCTTGTTCAAAGTGGATAGTACTCACCATGCCACCTATCTCGTGGTCTTGTTGTAAGTGGATAGTATTCACCATGCCACCTATCTCGCCACTGATCACATGGTCCTGTTTTAAGTGGGTAGTACTCACCATGCCACCTATCTCGTGGTCTTGTTGTGAGTGGATAGTACTCACCATGCCACCTATCTCGCCACTGATCACATGGTCCTGTTTTGAGTGGGTAGTACTCACCATGCCACCTATCTTGTGGTCTTGTTGTAAGTGGATAGTACTCACCATGCCACCATCTCGCCACTGATCACATGGTCCTGTTTTAAGTGGGTAGTACTCACCATGCCACCTATTGCGTGGTCCTGTGGATCCTGTAGGATCTCCTCAACAGAGTTACGCACGTCACTGAGGAATTTATCGGCCACACCCTCCTTAGTATGTACCAACGTACAACACAGATGCAAGCTGAAATGTAATTCAAATTTTCACTTTGAATTGATTTATTTCATTACAGATTTCCAAGTTAAATATGGAGAAATATCCATGTGACAAATACACATTGTTTACACCAAAAGTACAATTTACTTATTCTTTTCAATTGTGAAAGCTTTTTTCTGTCATTCAACATAAAACCATAGAATATCCTCCTAAAATTGTTTTTCATTTGGCAATGAAACTAGAACACTGACAGGTCAGTAAGGGCCCCGTCTTGCGGCAATTATATCCCCCATAATCATCAAGAAGCAATCTGCCCATATAGCTGAGCTTGACGTTTGACATTTGGACTTCAAAAAGAATCGCAAGGAAGCAAAATATACATTTTACATGTACTATGATGTGATGTGTTTCCTTCCACCTCCATATTTGCTGGGCTAACAGAAATGTAATTACCGGTGCAATACTCATTTGTTAGCTTTGATTTGTTTTATTTCACCTTATATACCTTCTCCATCAAGAGCCAGGGTCAAAGTCAGAGATCCACTTTGTCTTTGACCTTTGGACCCAAATGACCTTGACNTGCTTCATAATGTTATAACAAAATGTTCATCAGGGAAAAGGTACAAAATTGTAACCTTGACCTTTGACCAACAGACCTTGACCTTTGGTCAATTGACTCCTTGTTTAATTCTGAGCAACATTGCTTCAAAGTGTCATAGCGAAATGTTCACCAGTGAAAAGATACAACATTTAACCTTGACCTTTGACCCAATGACCTTGACCTTTGGTCAGTTGACTCGTTGTTTAATTCTGATCAACTTTGCTTCATGTCATAACAAAATGTTCATCAGTGACAAGATGCAAAATTTGACCTTGACCTTTGAATCTCATGACCTTGACCTTTGACCTCAACTTTTTACCTCAGTGTGTCTCTTTGTTTAATTCCGAGCAACATTGCTTCAAAGTGTCATAGCGAAATGTTCACCAGTGAAAAGATACAAAATTTAACCTTGACCTTTGACCCAATGACCTTGACCTTTGGTCAGTTGACTCCTTGTTTAATTCTGATCAATTTTGCTTCATAATGTCATAACAAAATGTTCATCAGTGAAAAGATTTGACCTTGACCTTTGAACCTAATGACCTTGACCTTTGACCTTGACTTTTTACCTCAATGTGTATTTTTATGAACTGAACAAGTTTCATGTAAATCAGTCAATAAAACCAAAGTTATCAGCAAAGAACAAAATATGTGGACGGACAGACAGACAGACAGACAGACAGACAGACAGACAGAGTGATTACTATAGGGCACCCGTATCTCCGATACGGGGCCCTTATAAAAGACATGTAGCATTTATTAAATTGGCAAAAAAGGTTATAGTATTGCTTTGATGTCATACTTCTCTCATTAGTGTTATTTTCCCCTCTAAGTGCCATCCAGAGAAAGTGAATACAAGTTTGTATTACCTTGTAAGTGTTTCTTCGAGTTTAATAGATCAACCAAAATCTCACCTGTCTGGGTACTGAAGAGCATTAAGGTTGTACCCTCGACTTGTCAGAATGTCTGCTAGCCTGAATATGTTGAACCTGTCGGATCCCATTCCTACCACAGACATGAGGGGCTCACCATATACAACCATTCCCTCAATCTCTCTCAGGCTGTAAACAAAACATGTAGGGTTTATACAGGTTAGGTGGTAACCAAGCACCTCAATCTCTCTCAGGCTGTAAACAAAACATCAAGGGTTTTATACAGGGTAGGTGTTAACCTAGCCCCTCAATCTCTCTCAGGCTAATCCCATTCCTACCACAGACATGAGGGGCTCACCATATACAACCATTCACTCAATCTCTCTCAGGCTGTAAACAAAACATGAAGGGTTTTATACAGGGTAGGTGTTCACCTAGCCCCTCAATCTCTCTCAGGCTATACACAAGTCATGTAGTGTTTATACAGGGTAGGTGTTAACCTAGCCCCTCAATCTCTCTCAGGCTATACACAAGTCATGTAGTGTTTATACAGGGTAGGTGTTAACCTAGCCCCTCAATCTCTCTCAGGCTGTAAACAAACCATGTAGGGTTAATACAGGGTAGGTGTAAACCTTGCCCCTCAATCTCTCTCAGGCTGTACTCACAACATGTAGGGTTTATACAGGGTAAGTATTAACCCAGCCCCTCAATCTCTCTCAGGCTGTAAACAAAACATCAAGGGTTTTATACAGGGTAGGTGTTAACCTAGCCCCTCAATCTCTCTCAGGCTGTACTCAAAACATGTAGGGTTCATACAGGGTAGGTGTAAACCTTGCCCCTCAATCTCTCAAAGGCTATACTCAAAACATGTAGGGTTTATACAGGGTAAGTATTAACCCAGCCCCTCAATCTCTCTCAGGCTGTAAACAAACCATGTAGGGTTAATACAGGGTAGGTGTAAACCTTGCCCCTCAATCTCTCAAAGGCTGTACACAAAACATGAAGGGTTTTATACAGGGTAGGTGTTCACCTAGCCCCTCAATCTCTCTCAGGCTATACACAAGACATGTAGTGTTTATACAGGGTAGGTGTTAACCTAGCCCCTCAATCTCTCTCAGGCTATACACAAGACAAGTAGGGTTTATACAGGGTAGCCGTTAACCTAGCCCCTCAATCTCTCCCAGGCTATACACAAGACATGTAGTGTTTATACAGGGTAGGTGTTAACCTAGCCCCTCAATCTCTCTCAGGCTAATCCCATTCCTACCACAGACATGAGGGGCTCACCATATACAACCATTCCCTTAATCTCTCTCAGGCTGTAAACAAAACATGTAGTGTTTATACAGGGTAGGTGGTAACCTAGCCCCTCAATCTCTCTCAGGCTGTACTCAAAACATGTAGGGTTTATACAGGGTAAGTATTAACCCAGCCCCTCAATCTCTCTCAGGCTGTAAACAAACCATGTAGGGTTAATACAGGGTAGGTGTAAACCTTGCCCCTCAATCTCTCTCAGGCTGTACTCAAAACATGTAGGGTTTATACAGGGTAGGTGGTAACCTAGCCCCTCAATCTCTCCCAGGCTGTAAACAAAACATGTAGGGTTTATACAGGGTAAGTATTAACCCAGCCCCTCAATCTCTCTCAGGCTGTAAACAAACCATGTAGGGTTAATACAGGGTAGGTGTAAACCTTGCCCCTCAATCTCTCAAAGGCTATACTCAAAACATGTAGGGTTTATACAGGGTAGGTGTAAACCTTGCCCCTCAATCTCTCTCAGGCTGTACACAAGACAAGTAGGGTTTATACAGGGTAGGCGTTAACCTAGCCCCTCAATCTCTCTCAGGCTATACACAAGACATGTAGTGTTTATACAGGGTAGGTGTTAACCTAGCCCCTCAATCTCTCTCAGGCTGTACTCAAAACATGTAGGGGTTATACAGGGTAGATGTTAACCTAGCCCCTCAATCTCTCTCAGGCTGTAAACAAAACATGAAGGGTTTTATACAGGGTAGGTGTAAACCTTGCCCCTCAATCTCTCAAAGGCTGTACACAAAACATGAAGGGTTTATACAGGGTAGGTGTTAACCTTGCCCCTCAATCTCTCTCAGGCTGTACTCAAAACATGTAGGGTTTATACAGGGTAGATGTTAACCTAGCCCCTCAATCTCTCTCAGGCTGTACATAAAACCTGTAGTAGACAAATTCTGTGTTCTTTGCACAAATTTTTTTTCTTTTTTTCTTCTTTTTCATTTAACTTTTTCCCCCCTTTTTAGTTTACTCTTTTTCAATAGGATTAAATAAATATAAAAGATCATAACATGGCATTTATGTAATCATGTAATGTATTAATGTAAATATTGGGCTATTACACAGGGTTTATGTATACATGAGATTGCTACTTGTATCAATGTATATATTGGGCTATTACACAGGGTTAATGTATACACAGGTTTGTTACATATAATAATGTAAATATTGGGCTATTACACAGGGTTAATGCATACACAAGATTGTTACATGTATTAATGTAAACCTTGGGTTATTACACAGGGTTAATGTATACACAGGTTTGTTACATGTATTAATGTAAACATTGGGTAATTACACAATAATTGTAAGTACATAAAGGGTCATAACACTGGGTTAATGTAAACATTTGTTATTACACAGTATTAATGTATACACAGGGTTGTTACATGTATTAATGTATACACAGGGTTGATACATGTATTAATGTATACACAGGGTTACTAAACAGGAACTTATGTTCACATGTGGTATTATCAATGTATCATTACAATACAAACATCACTTTATGTAATACTACAATAATTGTTTTAGACACAAGTTACCAAAGATTCAAATTGTGTACAAACATTTCAACTTACCCCTTTGCGATATATCTTGCTGTCTTGATAATTTTGCGAGTAGATTCCACGTATCCATCTAGCCCTATGTGCATCATGGTTGCCCAGCATGCTGCTATAATAGCACCAGCTCTACTGCCTGTAATAGCATTGTACTTATTGTACTAACAGTTCTACTGCCTGTAATAACATTGTACTTATTGTACTTACAGTTCTACTGCCTGTAATAACATTGTACTTATTGTACTTAAAGTTCTACTGCCTGTAATAACATTGTACTTATTGTATTTACAGTTCTACTGCCTGTAATAACAGTTTGTATTAACAGTTCTACTGCCTGTTATAAAAAATTTCTAACAGTTTGTACACTTACAGTTATACTGCCTGTTATAGCATTGTTCTAACAGTTTGTATTAACAGTTCCACTGCCTGTTATAACATTGTTCTACCAGTTTATATTAACAGTTCTACTGCCTGTTATAACATTGTTCTAACTGTTTGTATTAACAGTTCTACTACCTGTTATAACATTGTTGTAACAGTTTTACTGGCAGTAATAACAGTTTGTATTAACAGTTCTACTGCCTGTAATAACGTTGTACTTATTGTACTAACAATTCTACTGCCTGTAATAACATTGTACTTATTGTACTAACAGTTCTACTGTCTGGTATAACATTGTACTTATTGTACTAACAGTTCTACTGCCTGTAATAACATTGTACTTATTGTACTAACAGTTCTACTGCCTGTAATAACATTGTACTTATTGTACTAACAGTTCTACTGCCTGTAATAACATTGTACTTATTGTACT